AAACATCGACACTATCTGAAGTAACGATTTATACCTAGTCGTCAGATTATGTAAGGTGTTTAATTCACCTGGTTGTATTGAAGGTGATATAAAGTCATTCAATATATTTTTTTATTCTATTACTTTCACAAAACACAAGGCGAGGATTAATATTGTGTAGGTAAAACTAGCTTTAAATTGACCAAAAACAAGTTTTGACAAAAAATGCCGTTTTCTGTACTTGTTTATGTTGTAGAACCTCGCTCAGCTTGCTCAAGAAAATATTCACTCGTTACATAAAATAGGGCATTACACAACTGGTTTCATAAATAGCTATTGTGTTAATTTCAAACTCTTTACGGAAACATAAAGCCCAATATGTATAATTATTTCCATAGTATTGTCCTAATACTAATGTATTATTTTCAGCCCAAAACAACTCAATGGTATTAAATAGAAATTAAATTTCCTTTCATTTTGTTCGTATTGCAAATACTCTAGTGCCTTATATGCCCAATCTCTTCTCTCAGAATCTTTGATTTTGCAGAGATTCTTCTGCCATGTTTAACGGCCAGTTTGAGGCATTTCCTGTATAGAGATGGAGAAGAAACTAATACATTTTTGTCATGAAAAGCACACGTTTATATTTTTTATTTTTATTTTGTCAAAAATTAGGACAAGACATATCGATTTTTAGTATTTTGTAAACGCTGTCTAGAAGTTAGCTCAAAAAAACACATAGAGATTAGAGGAATCTACTTTAAATGACTTTCAAAATGGCATATTAAACGAACAAGTAGAAGTAGAAAAATAAGAACAAGAAGAAAAAGAAAGAGGACAAAAAACAACTAAAAATCAGGTTTGATCATCGAAATTTTGTCAAATTTCTCGCCATGTAATAGTTCTAAGTAATATTAGAGACATATTATGAAATCGCAAATTTTCTCATAACTGACAATAATAATTTCTGGTATTATTTTTATATCACAACTGACGGATTTTCCATAAAAGTCTGGAGATTTTATCCTTATCCTAAATTAAAATACAATACATTATAAAGTTCAAAGTCAAGTTCCTAGTACTGCTATTTATGAGGTATTAAGGCGCCACCTAGAAAATATGAATATTAATTAATAAAAAAAATATTGAAATGTAGGTCTTTATTTACCCATTAACATTAGCAATAAAATTGATAAAAATTGTTTGATTAAAATTAAATATATACTATTTTTAGCAATATATTTGCATATTGTTTGCTTAAACTTAAAATATCCTAATTCCACTTACAAAACACCATATCGATAGACAAAGATGTTACGCAAATGCTATTACAAAATAACACATTTTTTTTATTTTACATATATTTTTTCCTACTTAAATGTACGTACCTATTTTAAATGGGATTAAATGGATCTATATGTCGGAGATTTTAATCAATTTGCTTATTGACATACTTTATGTAAACAGAGTACTTAAATTTCTTTAAAAAAATATACAAGTACGAACAAAGATCGATTTTGTTCATCTATTGAAAAGCATCTTTTTGGTTTTAGAATATAAATTGAACTTCCACAATGAATATGTTTATTAATTATTATTAACGATGGCATCATAACAGTCTGCTGTCAAAATTCTAGAACATCCGCCAGTTTGATAATATTATTAGGGAAATATCAATAAAATTACTTCTGAACTAATGATTTCAACCTAGAATAATTCATATTTTATGCTAGAAATAGAAAAAAACCCTTTTCCCTTTTCATAAGAAAATGTTCGGTGAACTTAACTTTGAAAATAATAGTGGACATTTTGAAATATTGACCATTGAGCAGCGTCCATCTTCGACTTCTGATGGGAAATGCGGACTTATAATGCCAAAAATGCCTAACAATGCAATTATTTTCTCTTAATTGCGTATTTTAGTAAGATCTTAGGAAAAGCTAAGAAGAATTATTGCGTCACAAGAAAATAACTTTTAGCCATTATCAAAGCTCTCGACCACTTCCACACCTACCTTTTTGACAGAAGTTTTATTATTAGAAGTGACCATAGCGCCTTGCAATGGCTGATGAATTTTAAAAAATCTGAAGGAGAAGTTGCTAGATGGATAGAAAGACTGCAACAATACAACTTCGAGATAGTGCATCGACGGGGACGTCTCTATAGCAACGCAGACATTCTTTCCAGGCGATCGTGTTTAGATCGACAATGCCGGTACTGTAAAAGGCTTGAAAAACGAGAGGAGCTGGTTGAAGAAGTTAGTCTTCAGGCGACCTCTATCAAGCCAGAGGATGACGAAGACGGAATTACCCTTAAAAGCCTAAGAAAGACTCAAAAGAAAGACAATGACTTGAAGGTTGTCCAAGAATGGTTTAAAAATGGAGTCAGACCTACAATATAGTGGAACCGTTAAAGGGTACTGGACTCAGTGGGATTCCCTGTATCTTTACTATGGCCTATTGCACCGGAAGTGGGAGAGCCCCGATGGAGTACATGTAGTCCGCTAAGTGATACTGCCGAAATCACAGGTCAGAAGTTTGTTGGAGGAGCTTCATAGCAGCCATTCAGGAGGATACTTTGGTACTAAACGGACAGTTGCACGAGTTCGGGAAAGATTTTATTGGGTCAATTGCCGACGGGATGTAGAAGATTGGTGTAAGAAATGTGACCTTTGGAATGCCATGAAAGGGCCCAACATAAGAAGTCGAGGTAAAATGAAGCAGTACCTTTCCGGAGAGCATTTCGAACGAATCGCCATAGATATCCTCGGACCACTTCCCTTAACAGAAAGAGGAAACAAATACTTGTTGGTTTTTATGGACTATTTTTCAAAGTGGCCCGAAATAGTGCCTATTCCTAATTAGTAAGCGACGACAGTAGCGGAAGCATTTATGACGAACGTTATTACGAGACATAAATATTTTATTATAGTTAGCCAAAAGAAATGAAGGACTATATCTACCACGCACGAGGCAGGATTTTCTGCCTTCTGTGGTACGCCCTCTATTTATTTCCTTTTTATGTATTTAATTTTGTGTTTTGTATTGGGAAATAAATATTATTATTATTATCCAAGTCCTTATTATCTAATTGCTTTGTAACTGTTTTTAACTGAGGTTAATTATACAAAAAATATTTAATTTAATTAGAACCTAAAGACCTCCTTAAACAAGACATCCTTAAACAATCTCTCCAGGAGACTCACATTATCTAATCGATTTCTAAATAAGGTTAATTATGTGCGAAATATTTAATTTAATTAAAAATAGAAGTATATTTTAAATATGCTCTTGAGATCCCATTATCTAATTATTTTCTAATTGCGGTTAAATAAGTGAAAAGTATTTAATTTAATTAAACACTGTAGGTCTTTAATTAGAGCTGTAAACTGTAGGCCTTAAACAAATTTTCCAGCTACCCATTATCTAATAGTTTTTTTTCTGACAGTTAATTATGTGAGAAATATTTAATTTAATTATTGGATCCAAAAAATCATCACAAACACACTCTCCAGGTTCCTGTAATCGAATTGAGTTTAATTATGTTAGTAATATTTATTTTAAGTAATAAGAAACAAAAACCGTCTTAAACAAACTTTCTAGGTTCTCATTATTTAATTGTTTTCAAACTGAGTTTAACTATGTCAGAAATATTTAATTTAATTAGAATGTAAAAACCGTCTTAAATAATCTCGCAATTACTACAAGGAGGTCCATATTATCTAATTGCTTTCTAAATAAGGTTAATTATGAAAGAAATAATTAATTTAATTGGAAAGAGAAGGACATTTTATACACACTCCCTAGGTCTCCATTATCTAATTGCTTTCCAAGTATTAGAATAATTCGTAGATGCTCACACGAATATGGCAAGTAAACAAACTAAGTCTTGGTCGGTGAACTAACTCGTAGTTGGCAGCTAACGTGTTAAACTGTGAAGAGTATAATATGGAATACCAAGCATTATCTTCATTAAACAATTTGTAATAATTTTAAAAATGAACAAATAAATAAATGTTTTGGTAAAAAATATGAATATGAAATGGAAGATGACAAAGTTGAAACGTGTAATACAACTTTAAAAAATTAATCGGTAATCGGCGCTCTTTTCTAAAATTATAGAAGTCTGAGTTTGGCTTTTTCAGAACCAACCCACAGATGTATATATCAATATTTAAATCACCTATACAGAGTGTTTCAGATTTAAACGGACGCAGCTTAATGGGAGGTAGACTACACTTAGCTGAGTTCAAAACACCCCCATAATTAGGCGTTAATCTTACTCGTTTCAAAGATATAGGGTGTTTTATGATTTTTTACCAAAACTAAAATCGGCCATTTTGTTTGAATTATTTTTAAAAACACAGAGTAAAATATTTGATTTTAATATTGTAAATACTGATTTATAATATTGTACTCGCCATTATAAAAATTTACTGTAAGAAAATCAAGATGGTGCCATTAAATATTATTACACTATTTAATTTATTGATCCACGTACTATTTAAATGTGCAGTAACATTTATTAAAATCCGATATATAGGGTGATGTTCATGTTCAAGCTAAGAAGATCAATATAAAAAGAAGAAAATCCGGTCCTGGAGTTTCTGATTATTCCAGAGAGTGTAACTTTTGTACAAAATTTTATCAAAATATCTCTATCCGTTCAAACAAAATGGCCGATTTTAGTTTTGGCAAAAAATCATAAAACACCCTATAGCTCAGGAACAAGTAAGATTAAAGGCAAAGTATGGGGGTGTTTTGAACTCAGCTAAGTGTACTCTACCTCCCATTAAGCCGTGTCCGTTTAAATCTGAAACACCCTGTACAATATATCGATAATTTCGAGATAACCATCATATACAAAAACCCAATTAGATAACCCGCTAAAAAATTCGGAAGAGCTTTAGGATACCCGGCAATCGTGCGCACCTCCGTCGCACAGGTATAAGGGTAGGTGTGCAGGCAGCGTACGTATCTAACCCGTCGGCGATTCTAGAGTGGGGCGCCCATCCGCCGTCCGCTACGTACCCGCCGAGCATTACGTTATCAACGTTGGCTTAAGTTGGAACGCATCTGAAAGCGCCCGCCGTTTCTTCTTTTCTCATCAGAGAGCTTTTCCGAGCAGAGTAGCACGAGTGAACCGCTTTTTAAATGTTGAAGTTGCAGCATCTTCTACTTCTTCTCGCGTGTTCCGGAGTTGTTGCGAGGTGCGAGCGCACGTTCGGGTTATTGTTTGAAGTGTTTCCGGAGGCTTAGGAGAATCAGTTTTTAACGGGACGGTGTTTTTTTTTGGTCTGTGTGTTATCGAACCCCTTTTTTTGTTGGCGATTTTTTAGGATGTGTTTGGGTGATGCTGCTACCGGCACCACTCGCCTTTGATCTACTGGATGCAACCTTATGTGTAAGTGAGTAGGTTTTTTATTTTCGATGCTAGGATACGTAAATTTGATTTGTTTTTATTCAAAATTGCTCCACATTTAATTGTAACGGTAACTCCATGTGTTTATATCCAAAATGATTTAAAACGTTTTTTTTACTATTTGAAAACTCAAATAACATATATATGCTTAATTAAAAAAAAAAAGTTAAAAAAATTATTATGTAGTCTACATTATAATAATTCAAAATATTGGTATCCCAAATCAATTTTTAACACGGGTTTTTGGTATTTATAAACTTAAATCTACGGTAGAGAAAAAAATTAGCAATATTTAAGCGTTCAAAAAACTATTATTACTAAAATCTATGCAAAATGTATTTGGAGGAAAATTAGATAACAATAAATTTATAGAATATTTAGATAGAACTAGGGACTCAAAATTAAAAAATAATCGATACAAATGGAATAAATTACATATTTAATTAAAACAATTAAAACTAATATAATTGCTTCATAATTTCGTGTATTTTTTTCCAAAATTATTTGGATAACGGTTTTTACGCTTTGAAGATTAAAATACATATTGAGGAAAATTAAATAATATTTAAGGTGACAAAAAAATCTGAATATTAAAATCTATTATATATTTTGAAGAAAATCAGATAATTAGGCTCCAAATTTATAGAAGGCTTTAAAATTGAAAATAAAATCGATAGAAATGCAATTAATTCTATACTTAATTAAGACAACAATATGAAGTCAATATTATATTAATTCAAATAACAAAAATGTTATTAGTTTTTTCAAAATACAAATGATTTTAAATTCGATATGGCATTTGATAATAAATTAAAAAATGTAGAAAACTAACGACGAATTGACAGCTTTGATTTAATTATAATGTTTTACATTGATATAAGTAACAAGTAATTTTGTTTATTTTGTTAATTGGTATTAAGTATTAAGTTTTGATATTTTAAAAATAAAAGTTTCATTTTGTGAATTATAATACAAAAAATATAAATACCCTGTTGATAAAATAATAATAATAATATGACATAAATGTATTATATAAAAAAAATAAGAAAAATCATACTGACTAATCTTAAATCGTAGAGGTTTTTCAACTGCTTAAATCTGGCAATTTTCATAAACGATAATAAAAATCCTCAAAATCACAAATATATTCTTTATAATAAAAAATAAATGTTAACCCAGGCAATGTTAATACAGACATGACAATGTGTTAACATTTAGTTTTTAATAAAGAATATATTTGTGTAATACTGATTGTGAGGATTTTTATTTTTGTTTAATATTATTGTGTGACAAATTGCTTTGAGATTTTCTTGTTTTTCTTTATAATAAATTAAACATTTCAGAAATTACATAACTAACATATTTTTTGTTGAAAATAATTTTTCAAATTCGTATGAAATAATTATTCTGCTATTTAATATAAAATATTATTTCATACATTTTAGTTGGGATTTATTGGAATTTAATATTAATATATTTGTTTATATTATATCATACTTTCTAAGATTCATAATAAATAACAATATAAAATGAAGGCCATATAGTGTAAACTATTTATTTTTTACTTTAAATTGAAATTTTGATTATTATTAATGTTATTAATCTACACAAAAATGTATACATATTCAATTAATTAGTCGAAAATAAAATTAACATACTTATAAAGTTAATATTACAATAATTTTAAGAACATTCATTTTATACACAATTGTTGTTTTTTTCCAAAATACAAATGACTTTAAAATTGAAAGTGCTTCTGATAATAAATCAAAAATGTAAAAAACTAACGAAATAAGGGCTTTGAGTTAATTATAATGTTTTACACTGATACCTTAGTAACAAGTAATTTTGTTTATTTTGCTTGTTATAAAGTATTAATTTTTGATATTCAAAATTAATAAAATTTTAAATTTGTGCATTGTATTACAAAAAATATAAAAACCGTGTTGATAAAACAAAAAATAAAAAAGTTATGAAAGTACTTTTAAAAAACCGATCCCAAAATCGTGCCGATACCATGGTAAATTGAATTTACTGATTTTCTAGTAAATCTTATCAATATATTTTGACCCCTGAGGTACTCCCTTTCAAACACAAAATTATCGAGGCCCTTCCTATGGGGCCTCAGTATTGTATTCGTGTAGACGAAAAAATTTTCTAATCCCCATTTTTTAAAACTTTTTTCATGTTTCCGATCATTCCGAGTCCGAAAATGCAAAAAAAACTTTCCGTCTGATCGTCTGTGTGTATGTATGCCGCCACGATAACTCCAGAACGAAAGTTCTGATTGACTGGCGGTTTTGATTTTCTTGAATAATTACTTTTAACTTAGAACCCTATTGGTTTTCAGAATTTTCCGTTTATCCTAACTAATTTAATATCAATTTTCTTAAAATCCGCATATGCATTTCTTATGTGACAATTTTAGGAATTCCAATTATTTCTAACGACAACATTCCTAACATTCTTAAAATTCCATAAATTGCAAACATTCTCTAACGACCTGTCAAAAAACAGCTGTTGATAGTAAAGGTGAAATTTCTAAGACGGGTTGCGACCTTCATACTTGAAACCATAGCCATTTTGGAGACTATTTTTATTCGAAATTAGTAGCCAAGCCTGCCAATTTATGAAAAATATATAAGCAATTTCTTAAAAATTACTTTTTTATGGTGGTGATAACTTAAGCGTACTTCTATTTCGCCCCTAGCCACAAAAACACCTTCATCAAATTTACTGGCTCTCTGTCGCAACCCCATAGAATAATTAACCGGCCATTTTATTTGGCAAAAATCAGAATAATGCTTGGCTGTGCCTGTCAAGTATCAAGATGTCAACTGTGATGTGTGAATGGCTCTTAAATGTCAAATTATTTAAAAATGCATACTTCTTTTGATATTTATTGCAAATAATTTGTAGTGTACCTCAATTTAGGCTTTCCATAAATAAAGGTACAGCAAGACAAATAATATAATGTTCTTATACAAAGCACTTTTTTATTATATAAAAGAGAGGTAGGATATAATTCTGTTTTTTTGTAGAAAATGTTTATTAAACGATTTTGGATTATACATATTCAACTAGCGAATTGTAAATAATAATTAGTAAGCTTCTAGTCATAAATTTCCCCAACAAATAAAATTTAAAAATGAATCTTACCTTGGTACCGAGGTATTTTGTTGTATTTTTTATTTTAATTATAAAGTTGTCATTTATTTGTATGTTGAAAGAAGGGCTTTGTAAATTACATTGCTCTCTATGGATCTACTTTAACACAAAAATAGTTTTGTGGCTATAAGTTGCTATAACCTATCGTCGCAAAACTATTAATAATTTAAACATAGTAAGTAGTATTAATATAACATCAAGTAATTTTTTAAAATAAAGTACGAGATCTCAAAACAGAAATAATTTATAATAAATGCGGGTAAAACGAGGGGTAAAATAACAATAAATACTTAAAAAGGGAAGGTTTAAAGAGTATTATCACAAAAAAGTATATCCGTTCTTTTTATTTATTAAATATTGTTTGAGGTTACTTTTGAATAAATTTATTGTTGTTTTTTTTTTTTTAATTTCTGTAGGCAGTCTATATAATTTTTTAAACCTTTAATAAAAATTGTATTTTGAGAACTTTTAGTGATGGTTTGCCTAGCGTTAAAGTCAGATTGGCTTCTTGTATTATAGTTGTGATATTGCGAATTATATTGAATTTTTTCTAATAGATCTGATGCGATGGTACTATCTCATTTTTATTTTATAAATATCAGTCATGTATTGAACATAATTATGAACTGAAAACCAATTTATTTCTTTTAACATAGTTGCAATACTCATCCTTCTGTTCTTTTTTAATATTATATAAATAGGCGAAGTGAGGAGCCCAAATATTTTACATGAGCAGGCTTAAGAGGTAAAGGGGCCAATTATTATTTGATGAATTGCTCAATTTTGTAAACCCTAATCAAAAGGCGATATAGAATGGTTTTAAAAATCAAGCCTTGTGGAAATCATCACATGGTTTAACCTAATTAATGCCAATGCTTCACAAACCAAAAAATTCAACATCCTTACAATACTATCGGCTTTCGGTATTTCGTTCCAAGATAAATCATTTCTCGTTTTTGTTACGCTATGAGTTTACCATTGTGGGCCTCAGTCTCGATAAGGTGGGGACCACCATTTTAGCGTCTCTCGAATTATCATAGAAATTGAACAACGTGGTAAAGGGTTATCGTTGAATATACATAAGAAAATAAAGAGTTTGTATAGTTTAAGAATTGTAAATTTTGATAATAAAATTATTAAGTAGGTATTATTTTTTAATATATACAAAATAAATAAAATTTTAAATCTGTTCATTATATATAAGAACATTTTAAATCCATGTGTTACAAAAAATATTTTGATAACATTTACTTAATATTATTTTGAGACACTTGAATTTGATATCTTGATTTTCTTTATAATAAATGAAAATTTTCAAAATTATATAACTAATATATAATTTCTTAAAAATAATTTTTGTAATTTGAAATAGTTTTTCTATTATTTAATAAAAAATATTGTTTCCATTAATTTTAGTTGCGATTTATTTGAATTTAATATTTGTTTATTTTATCTTACTTTCTAAAATTAATAATTAATAAAAATTAAAATTTCGATTAATATTATGTCGAGGGGCAAATCACTCCCGCAATACGTGTACAAAATGTCCGCAATCCCATTGAAAATCGCCGCAGTCTCATCAAAATCAGTGACAATCTCTAAGAAATCGCCGCAGTCGTTCCGAATTCGCTCGCAGTCGTTCCGAATTCCCTTGCAGTCCCCCGAATTCTCTAGCAGTCACTGAGCAATCACTAGCAATCGTTAAAAATCGCGCGCAGTAAGGTGACATTAACCAATTAGCCATTGTTGATGTAGGGTGCTTTGATTAAGCCATCTAAACCATTTTGTGTAAAGAAATTGCAGTTTACATTTATCGAAAGGG